ACCCCCCCCCCCCCCCCCCACCCCCTCCACATTTCTGTATAAAATACGACGAAAAATCCCGCGGGTACTTCCAGAAAAATTGGGTGGGAGTGTGCAGCACCTTTCCTGAAACCCTTAACCTATCTCAGACCAAAATCTGTGATTTTCCCTACCCTATTTCAGACCTGATAAAAAAATTGATACCCTTTTTAAGACCTGAAGCCCTAGAGCCCGGCCCGTGACCGGAACGCGTGGCAAGCTGTTACGGCACGTACACGGTTGGCGTGAACATTAAGAGGGAAATAGTCTTATCGCCAAATGATGAAGAAGTAGTTTCTTCTAAAAAACATACTCAGTTCAAGACTAGAGTGCACAAACCATACACTATTTCAGAAGAAAATGGTCTACATTGATGCCCATTTCAGACCAAAAAGGCTAAAAAACCATACCTTTGGCGCGGCACATACCTATAAAGCCTAAACAGTGGAACCTCGATATAACGAAGGGCCAAGGAAATGGTAAAATTTGTTCGCTATAACGAGGTTTCGTTATATCGAGGTGCTTTTCTACATATTTTACTATTACTGGGGTAAAAAAAATCGTTCGTTACACTGAGGACTTCGTTATATTGAGGTTCGTGTTATCGAGGTTCTTTTTCATATATTTTACAATTAGTGGGGTAAAGAAAACCGTTAATTATACCGAGGACTTCTTTCTATAAAGGTTCGTTATATCGAGGTTCCACTGTATAAGGGAGTACCCGCGTTGCAGATAATGAGTCTCGCTGCTTACGCAAGCGAGATTAATTACAGCACATTACGCAAAAATGTTCGAAAAGCTCTTTCAATCCAAGCGTTCATTTATTTGCAGTTCCTTTCAGTTTCAGTCACGTTCTTTTGAGGCAAAAACTAACGAAGAACGTTCAGCAGTAAGGCCTTCTATGAGGTAATAATCACTTGGGAGAAGGAAGAGGACTTGTTTGGCGATCGTAACGATTTTAAGTTCTTGGCCATGTTTGTAAATGACCAACAGTTTACCTAACAGTTTGCCTTGTGTTTTGAAGCGTAAACCATGTTACGTTATCCTTGAATTATTTGCTTGTGGTTATTAGATTTTAATGCCTGTAAACCCGTCAAAGCACTAACGCTTAACGACTTCCATTATAAACAAAAATTAACATTCTCTTTTCCAAAGGAGATTCAAAAGCTGGCCGCGACTCGAGCACTAGCAGTTTTGTCAGAGCCGTGTAAATCAATGGATCGTGATTGTATGTGGGTTATATATTCCTTTGTTTCCATTGGAATTTACAACGCCGAGTTTAGAGATGAAGTTTTGCCAAAAATTTGTTCGGCTCCCAAATTCTCTACATGAACCAATCACTCATAATCCGCTCTGATAAGAGTCTGGTGTTCAAAACAGCAGCTTTTGAATCAACATATGTTGACTGACTAATGAGAGCCCCGGAGTGTTCGTCAGCTGAGAAGTTTCTCTAAGTCTTTACAAATTTCATCCATTTCAGTACTGCTTCCTTTAAACTTTTCCACACTGAGTCCCAACACACTTGCAAGACCTGCCACCTGAAGCAAACAAAAAATTATTGCAGTTGTCTGTCGCATCGATAATCGGGTTTTATTTTGTAAATATTTATCTAAGTAACCCGATCCTGCCTTTAAAAGGTAAGCTACTGCTTTGCAGATGAATATGTAGATACACCTACTAGGGCACGATACGAATGATGCTTAATGATGGCTTAACAAACAAACAATGTGGATATTAAATAAGAGAGAAAAGGTAAGCAATCACATAAAAATTGTGAATTGGAAAGGAGGCCGTTTAAGGGAGCTGGCCTCGCCCGTAGAGTTTCAACTGTAATCAGATGGCATGTTAGCGTTTTGAGAAAGTGCGTGTGCCTTGAACTTTACTGTGAAAAGCCAGCGCAAAACTAATCTGTCAAGTTAAATCAAAGTGTTTAAAGTTTTGTGACAGAATTTAGACAAGAAAATTAAACTACCTCAGAACTGCAGTCTATAAATCTTCTCAATGCGTAAAGGCAGTTATGACCTGACAACAATGAAACAAAAGATAAATGAGTTCATGCTTTGAAAAGAAAACGAGCTTTAGAAGCCTATGAGGGTAAGAGAAAACTAATTTATGAACAGACTTTCTAATATTAACTAGCCATTTGTCCATACTTCCTCGAATAATGGCATTCCCTCGATTAATCGCCTCCCCGAATCACCTCCCACCTTAGACGGAATTTTTTTATATGGTAGGCAGAGAACGTATTCAGAGCTTTAAAACTTCAATTTGGAAAGAAAATCTTCCTCTTCTCTAATCCTCACCCAGAATTACCATGGGTTGGAAACGCGCGAGATCTCAACACAACAGCCTCATGCAGGGCGAGACACTTTAAAAGCGAGCAGAATTCTGTGTGAAAGACCGACCTGTTTCTGGTGACACATCCTTGCTCAAAACTTCAATAACAGCTGTCGAACACTCAAGGGCAATTTCTTCGTGTACCTGAATAAATAAATAAATTTAATTACCACTACAGTGTATGTTCATAATTGTTCACTGTTCTCGAGAGGGGATAATGACATTCATGTGATGGGTCCATCACTTGCTGTCCTTAGCGTGTGAGCAAGCTCTCCATTTGGGGGATACAACTGATAAAGGGCTCTGCTTTTCCTTCCACAAGAACTACAAACTCAGTTTTATCCTCGATTTATCCTCGGCTCGCAATATTCTATTGGCAATCCAACACTTTCACACGTACAGCTTTGCGAGAATTACATCAAACGAGCCCGCCTGTTTTGAGAGCTGAAACAAGCTCTCGGTTCCAGTATGATCCCCCTGAGAACCAAATTTGACACACACACGACAGTTAACTCTCACAGAAGGAGAAAGCGATTTTCTTCCTCTGCCGGTCTCCTTTTTCGGAGTGAGTTCAGCGATCGCCGACACAACACGGGTTTTGGGAATAAGAGCATCGTGTTTCTACGTTTGCCGCGAAAATTTCGGGCAGGCCAGCTGAGCCTGTTATCAATCAACTTTGATATTCGGAACGTCATTTTCAGCCAATGGTATCTCCCTTCGTCTGGGCGAAGTAACAATTGAAAATTTATGAGACATCATTGGAGGCTCTCCTTTCCTCGGCCGCTAACGGCTCGCTCGCGCGTTCTCGCGCGGCTCGCTTCGCTCGCCCAAATAGGAAAGCTTGCTCGCGGGATAGCTGTCCTTCATTCTCCAATTTTGTTATGCTTAGAAACTTTATTATTATTTGTATCCTCTGAAAGGATGGTGTAAATTTCAAATCCAAACGTTTTGATAATCCAATGAAGAAATTAACGCTACAGGAACACTATAAGTCACCAATAAACGAAAAATCTCATGGGTCTTTTTAACGTGTCTGAATAAGTCTTGTCAAAGTACTGTACTCGCGCACTGTGAATGGTTGAGAACATACAAGTTACCTTAAATCGAGCAATATTTGAAGCCAATGCAGCGCCTACGGTAGTGAGATCTTCATTTTTGCTCAGAAGACAGTTCACAGTGACAGCAGCAAGGGGAGTAGAGCGAGTGTCTTTAAACATGACTGAGTGACCTGTCTGATGGCTGGTAACACAACAATACTACAACACAAAATATGACTGATAAGTGAATTGGAAAAAACGTTTCAGTCTGAGGCCGTTTTCCAGGATTTCATGGTGACGACATTTGACTACAACTACCAGAATGCGTTTCGTTTTCGCTTTTAAATTTGTCAAACCCTAACCTGAGGATTGAAAAACAATAACCATAATTTTCACAAGCAAACAAAAAACTGAAGAACTCTAGTAGTTGTGGTAAAAAGACGTCATGATCATACAATTGTCCTGCTAACGCAATGAAAATAAGAAGAGCCTATTATAACAATAGGTCATCCTCAGTAGCTAAGTGGCAGTGCTGATGAGTCAAATGACGCATTTAACATTGCATCTACAGAGCTAAGACGTCCGCTTTAGATCTAAGTGAATCAGAGGGCAGTAACGAATCCATCCAAAACGTACAGCCACTGTAGCCACTAGGAGTTATCTCGAACTCAAGCATTAGTCAATGACTTCCAAACAGAAAGAAAGGATCATTGGCAAATTGAAGTTTGTTTGCAAAAGCCAAATCGAAGTTACTATTATGATGCTTTCTCCTTGTTTTAAGGTAATAACAAAATAGGTACAAGTATAAACCTCTAAGGACTTATAGAGCATGCTTTTTTAAAATTCTCCAGAAGTGAACATAATCACTTAGCAAAATCATCTCTGGCAGCTGGCCTGCTGAGCGAGCAGAACTTCGTAAGTCACTTACCAGCTTCACACATTCAACTTGACTTGACGAGGAATTTACGTCTGAAAATTGTCTGCAGGTCATATTCACAGTTTCCTGTAGACCTGTTTGGAAAAATACACAGACCTGTATTGAATTTTGAATTTACAGTAGCCAGCTTCAGTTAAATAAAGGTAACGTCCGATGTTTTTGCATTTATTTTCCCTCTTCAGTATAACTAAAAATATCGAACATTGGCAAGATGATGATATTAAGTCTAGGGACTAGACTCACTAAAAAAATCTTGTTTTGCTTACAGAAAATGCAGTGATGCGAGTATAATTATAAGGTTTTACCTTGTGTTCCAGTCTTTTTTAACAGCACACAAAATTTAAAACTCACCTTTAGAATCAGAATATAACTGATCATTTAATGACAACACTTGAAGAAATTTCAAACTAAGCAGAACAGCGGAGCAATATTTCTCTTGAGTTAAATACTTGTCAACCACCTTATCTGTAAAACAATTAAAGGATCAATATAACCTTTTCTATTAAAGCCTGACCTTTCACCACCCCTCTTAGCAAACAGTTTGATCGTTGCTGAAGAGAGTAGGTTCTCGACGAATGACAGGTAACTATTGCAAGGGGCAGGTGGCGGCCTTATAATTAATTTCTCCAAACTAGAAACTAAAATACCTGACTTCAAATCACTTTCACACGATACTTTAATATCTCTTCTTATGAATTCTGATTATTTAATTAACTGTCAATTAGTTTCACTTATCTCGCAACGCTTTGAATTAAGAACCAATTAATATTAATGAATGAATTAATGAATGAGAACTGTAACATTTTGTAATGTTTTACACCTACTAATTAGTTGAATTAGTATTTAAATTAGACTAATAGCTTTTGTAATACTGTAATTCCTTAATGGTCATGCAAATAAAGTATTTGGTGTTGTTGTTGTTGGCACGAGCAACTTGGTTGACGTGACAACACACTTTGCTTTGCTTTGCTTCGCTTTGACAAGACGAGCTATGACGATGATGATGATGATAATGATGATGATGATGATGATCAGGCAAACAGATTGAGTAACTAAAATCTTTTAATATCAGGCCCGTAGGAACGAATTTGAAAGTGGGTGGGTACGACTGTTGTGGCACTGAAAGACCTTTTACTCAAAGCATTTGTAGCACGCATAACTAATATCAGTTTGACTATTAAAACCTGTTGCAGTCTATCTGAATGAAGCAGGTCCATTTGCATTAAGAAATTCTATTATGGATGACACAAAGGCTATGGAACTTTCTTGAGCATGAATTTTCAAAATAGTAAGCTGTGTTTCGAGACGTTCCAAGTTTATATCTGAACCATAAAAGTTACAGGTTGATAATGGCTCACTTGAGAAATCGCCTCCTGCAACCGTTGTGAGAAGCAAGTTTTCGAGATTCGTATAGATTTCAGGGGCGTAGCTTGAGATTTTGAAGGTGTACGTTAGGGAGAAAAGTTAGAAGGCCGAAGGCGCTCCAAAGTAGGGGGAATGATGTCCGGGGCATACTCCCCACAGAAAAGGTTTAAATTTAGGGGCTCGGAAATGCCACTGTAGTTCTGCGTTATCCACAGGACATTTTACTCAATACAAAAGAAAGTGCAAATGGTTAGAACATATTTTACCCATATCTAGTGTTGTGGTACAGTGTTTGCGGAAAAAGGTAAAACAGTGACGCCATCAAGGAAATTACAAGCAAAGGGTGATAGAGCCTGTATGACAGCTGTCAATTCTCGTCTCTATTGTGAAACATCCCTAGTGATTCACTGGCTATAAAGGGCGAGACGATTACCCTTCAGACGGGCAAAAGACACCAATATAAGATCATATGATGCGAATTCAAAAAACCAGTCACCCTCAATGTTTAATGATAAAAGTGCTTGCAGGAAATCATTGTATATGTTACAGGTCAAATTTGATTTCAGGTTAAATTTTTTTAACCTAGGTTGATTCTCTATTTGTCTCGTCTTCTATCTAGCCCTAATTATTTATGAATTACGGCTAGGAGACAAAGGAAAAAATAAAGAATCAGCCTAGGTTAAATCAAAATTAACCTGAAATCAAATTTGACCTATAACATATATAAAAAAATTATTTTCCAGACGTGCGTAGGTGGACGCTACGCTCCTGGATTTTATAATCTGGTTGATCAATCTAGACTTGATCCCGGTTCAATAGCAAGTCCAGGGCTTCAAAATATCTGATACATCTGTTATAGTCTTGTTTAGTTCCGGGAAAATGTACGTCGGGTTGTCCTCCATCTGTGCTTTTCTAGCATTACAGGGATTTAAACGGACTTGAGAGGTTTAAAAATTAGCCCTAACAACATATTTTGTAAAATTGAACGGGGTACTGCGTTGTGTTATTAAATCAGTATTTTCGACAATAAAGTTGTAATTTTTTTTCCCTTCCATTTTCACCCAAAAAGTGAAGGGAGGGGTGGGGGGAAGGAGGCATATGGCCCATGTAATTCACGACGAAGGTAACTTTTATCTAACGAGGGAGGTGACAGGAGACAAAAACGTAAGGAAAAATAACGCACAGTGTTAAAGCTGAACTTACCAAGAACTTGAATTTGCCTTTCTTGCACTCCTATCAGATTTTTGTTATGTAGGCAGTCTTTTAATTCATCAAGATGACTCAACTCCTCATCTGAAAATTCTTTTGTGTCTGTAAGAATGTCTTTCAGCTGAGCTACATCTGAGGCCGTCTAAATAAAATATAAACGAATGTAAAACGTTAAATTCACAAGACACTACAAGGCCGTAAGGAAATAAGGATTTCCAAGGTTTATTTTATAAAATTTCACAGACTTACATCAACTTGGTTGAATGTGTTGGCCTTTCTCAGCACTGAGCTTTGACTGTCAATTGGAAAAAAAAATTTAGCCTTGTTAAAAAAGTAAAACATGTATACAGAACTAAGAATTCAGGCTTATTCCAGATACAGGCAACTCCCTCTTAACCTCTTAACACCTGTTTTCTTGTGGATGTTTTCTTGATAATGTAAATTTCCCTGACCAACTGAACCAACAATTTTAACCTCTCCCTCACAGCCATCCATAATATCCATAATAGCGGCCTGTGTGTAAGTAAGAATAAGTAAGAATAAAAACAACAGCTAATCTCCGTGGCACGTCCGTTCCAAAGGCGTGGGAGATCAGAGGAAGGGACAAATGTAGGAGTATTTGTATTATTCTCTTTCCATACCCACCCTTCGCCTTTTTGCGCCACACTGAAAAATGTAAAGCATAAGAAAAGTCAGGGATTGTCATTTGTAAGAAAATGTTGTTGTTGAACGATATTCTTCACCCCAGTAATAGTAAAATACAAGAAACAAACCCTGACATAATGAAAGTTCATTTTTGTGAGCCAATTTGGCCAGTCCCTTGGCCCTTCGTTATATGGAGGTTCGAAATTAAGCTCATTTAAAACAGACTGACCAGCCATCTGGTTGACCCCTCCTCCCTGCAGCTGTCTGATTGGCTGATGAAGTATCTCTTGGCTCAAATATGGATTCTGGTTGTGTTGTTGATGATGAGGATGCTGAGCTTGAATGTGATACTGATGATGTTCCACTTGCAGCAGTTGGTCTTACAGACATGGAGTCAATAATAGGTCTTATCATCTGGCCAAATGAACTGAAATATAAACAAAATGGAGCCTCCATTGGCATATTGTTTTAATCAGTCTTGTTGTTGTTACTTGACTGTAATTATTATAAAGATGCATTTGATACACAAAAATTTGCTCCAAAAAAAAACTGATATCAACTTAAACATAAATTATTTTAAATACTGATAACTATTTTTTGACCCTAGAAATTAGAAATTGGACTTCCTATATGACACCAGCTGCCAAAATTGATCAAGTAATTATTAAAAATATAATATATTTTAACTCTTATTGACATGATGCTTAGGGGAAAATAAACAACTAACTTACGTGTTGAGCACTTCTGATGGAAGATCCTGAATGTGTTGAGGGATTTTGTTGCCTGTTAAGAACATGGCAACTTCGGCGGAGAATGTGTTGCAGTTGTGTTCAAACAAGTGGTACTTCTCTGGTCTGTTAATTATCAAGGGGATTTTAAGATGGATCAGTGGTTACACTTTTGAACAGCATTTTTTTACAAAAAAAAAATACCAAAAAAAGTTTCATCACAGGAAAACTAAAAACCAAAGGTCCAGCCTGCATTCCCTGATAGAAAATGGAAGTAGAAAAATTCCTTACTGGCAAAATCAGGTCCCGCGGGTTGAAAAGGAAATTAGTTAACTGCAACACTGTTTCACGCATTACTGTGTCTGATCTGCCATGATAACTAAGATGTATTTTGGCATTGTTTTAATTCTTTTTTTCAATCTCTATAAGCTTCAAATCAAGAAAGTTTAAGACTATTAAATGACCTGAGGCCATGCCAAATTTTAATGGCTTTCAAATTGACACCTTATGTCAACCAAAGTTTTAGGTCTAAGATCTTAGGTCTAAGACATTAAGGGTCGGGTTGAAGCTGAATTTTTTGGTGTCCAGATTGTTACGCAGAAAAAGGATTCCATGTATTTTTGAACTTTGAAACAAGTAACAGTCCTATAGTAAACTTGATAAAATGCTGGACCAACTTTTTTTACTGTTTATCACATCCTCACAAAAAAGTACATCGAGTTGGGCTTATAGTTTGATTTTATGATATATGTGGCTAATTCCATATATCTAACAAGACTGGAAAGAACAGTTCATGTTATTAAATTGAGACTTGATTAACAAATTACCTAAAATCTTGTTGCCCAATTCCATTCAAGAACTCTTCAAAAACATCTTGAAAGATTTCAGTGTCTCCCAAATCTACCACCTCATCAGGACTACCAAGAATAGTTCCTCCCTCAAAAAATTAACATGTAGTTACAATAATGTTTGCTAACTAATGGATCATATTAGCCATGTGAGCAAAATGGAAGATCTTTTACTTCCATTGTTTACTAACAGACAAATCAATGTTGTATATACAGGGCTTCTGATATTTCGCGCGGACCCGCGAAATTCCCCAAAAAACGCGAAATACCGCGAAATCCGCCAGAAATATTTCCAAATACATGTCGGCAAAACATATTTAATACTTATCTTGGCTATTAGACCTGTTTTATTCACCCCAATCGTCCAATTCGTCACTGCAACGAGTAAACAACGTCCCAAAACTACCAGGCGTTTTTAGATGAACGTTGCGAAAAGCTGGGTACTAACCATAATGTTAATAGCTTCAGCATTCGCTCATTTCTCGAGCGAACTGTTGTGGAAAGAGTAAATGATTATCCCTGTTAAAAAAACGTCAAAAAACGCTGGTCATATCGACGCAAAATTGATCGATTTTAGCTAAATTTGCCCCCCAAAAATTCAGCGACATCGGCTGTTTTTCACTGATTGTTTCTTGGCGAAGTTTCCCCCCGAAATTTCCCGTGAAATCGGCCGATTTTTCTTAGAATTTGCCCCTGAAAATCCTTCGTAATTTGACTTTTTTCCGCTAAAATCCCGCGAAATCGGCCGACTTTCTGCGAATTTTGTCTTTTCTCCTGCGAAAATCCTGCGAAATCGGTCTATTTTTCCGCGAATTTTGACTTTTTTCCCGCGAAAGTCCCGCGAAATCGGCCGATTTTTCCGCGAATTTGCCCCTGAAAATCCCGCGAAATTTTGCTTTTTTTTCCGCGAAATATCAGAAGCCCTGTATATAGCCAAACATTGCAATTTCACACCCAAAATTCACCAAACGTGAACAAGAGTAGTTTTGAACTTGAAGAGGCTGAGCAAGTTCATTTAGTGTCAAATTAAATATTTATTATAATATTTATTGCTATATTTTCAAAAAAAGAAATAAAGACATAGCCCGCGAACGGCAGACGTTTCTCCTCATTCATCGACGCTGAGGGACGTTTCGCGAGGAGGAACATCTGCGACTCAGTGACAGAAATTCCATACTGATGACGCAAAATCTGTCCGGAATCCAGTCAGAAGCGCTAATTGGTCGATGGAGTAGTTTCATTGTTCTCGCTATTGCTAGCTAGGAGAAACGTAAAATGGAGCAAATTTGCATTTGGAACCCCATGACTACCGGATTTATTAAGCAAGCATTGATTTATCATCAGTATGGAATTTCTGTCGCTGAGTCGCAGGCGTTCCTTCACACGAAACGTCCCTCAGCGGAGATGAGCGGGAAGAAACGTCTGCCGTTCGCAGGCTAATAAAGACAATAATACTTATATTTTCTGTTCCAAAAAGTTAGTAACCATGCTGACACCAATATCCTCACAAGTGAAAGATAAAAATAGTACCTTCACTGCGCATGATGAAGATATGATTTTTTAGTAACAGGAAAAATCCTAGTATTTCATCAGTATCTATATATAAGGTTAATTATTATACATTACTGACTGAAAATTGTTAAGTTCTCCCTTTAAAGTAATAAAAAAAAAACAAATGAGTTAAGTGTACACCAACTGGCATCACATACAAGTATACACATTCACTAGATATAAAGCTGCATACTTTATTTTTTTTAGCTGTTAAGTCATTTGAATTATATCTATATTTATCAAGTGGCAATGCTGATGCAGTGATTTTGTTACCCCTGCATCCTGCATCCCTGATGCAAAAAAATCCCCAAAGATGCAAATAATTTGTGGTATGCGCCCCATAGGATGCAAAGATCAATTGATTGACATGAAGATGTCATCGTAGAATATCCTGTTTGTGTGATTTCTGTGGCTGTTCTTGTGGCTGTTGTGACATGATGCTTATTCCTTGTAGTCTTTGTTAAATATGTGCTTTACAATAGAAGAAGTACATTTTTATTTCAGTAAACTGTACTGATACAGAGTTTGGAGTCTGCCTTCAGATTAACTGTGTGGTTACAAAAGACCCAGGGATATTGTTTTTGGAACTGGTACTCAATGGTTCTGGGACTGGGACTCATGATTATTCACAAGATGAGTCTCTGGACTCACCATAACTATTTGTAACAAAATCACTGCTACTGGCTTACACCAGCCAAAACATGACTAAGTCAATCAATGTACGCTAGCTTAAGACTTTGATTACCGTGCGTATTGTTATGGCATGTCTTAGCTTCTGAGCTTGTTAAGCAGTTTAAGGTAAAACACAAAACAAAGTTCTAACTATAAAAACAAACTTACTGGTAAACAGCTCTCTATGCCACCTCCACCATAAAAGTACTCTCTGCCAAAGCAGACTATACCAGTGTGCCTTTAATTAATTGATTAAAATAAGATTACATAAAAGCACCAACATTTTAGAACAATCAATCTGATACGGGTATCATGCGGACTCAAGACTTCAGTTTATTCCCACAAAAGGGTCTGTTGTCAAGCAATATCAGAAATTTCTCTGCACCAGTACCCCCATTTCATTCAGAATCTGAATGTTAGAAAAGTCTCAAAGGCTCTGCATGCAGAGCCTTTGAACTGGATTTTTAACTGAAACACAATTGTGATTGATTTGGATGGGGTTTGAAAAATTGCACATTTTGCATACTGTTATATCAGAAGCCCTTATACAAGTTATGTTGTTTTGTGACAGCAGGACCAGGATCACCGGGTCTCTAAAGACTGTATATTTTGTTAAATAATTCTATAACAGCTAGCTTTCCAAGAACGAGGTTTCAAATTCTACACATGCCAAGTAAATTGGTTAAGGGTAACTAATGTGACAACTTTTTTTGTCTCCAGTTGAAGTGAGCGTGCAGATCTCTAACAATATTATAATTATTCACTGAACTATTTAGCTAAAGCATTTTGCTAATTTTGGTACTAAAATGAAATTAAACTTTAAATTTACATACCAAACTCCTTCAATTCTTTTCCCTGTCGGTATAATAAGGATAGATAATCATCAACTTCTTGATAAGATAATATCCCATTTTGTAAGAGAAGTCCCTCATTCGAATGACTCAGCATGCAGAGATCGAGCCTAATTTTCACTGATGGATAAAAGACTCACCTAACAGGAGTGGCGACAACTGCTTTGCAAAACCTCTTGAAATATCATACACGTACAATTTAACGGGAATCTTCTCCATTAAAAGATCTTTGGAAAAAATCTAACACAACGAAGCAGCACGAAAAACTTTGTTGTCAATAGTTATGAATAGTCCCAGGTTTTCTTCTTACCGAAAGGGTCTGGGGAAAGCCCACATCAAATTCCTCCCCTGGTCCTCCGGGCCGGGCGAAAGGTCCACCCTGCGGGGGAGGCTACGACCCTGGCGGCGAGGAGCTAGGAGAAACGGCTGTATTCGCAGGCTAATCTCGAAGCAGCTTTTTATTTCTCAAAAGAGACTTTTTCCAATTCCTGCTTTGCCAGTGAGAAGAATACGTTTGGGGTTACTCTCATCGTCCGCTGCGCGAAAAAATATTTCTTGACTCTCCCTGACACGCCCGACTCCCCTAAACGACCATAACCAACAAGGCGTTCTCTTCTTGTTGTCTACTTGTCTTTGGCAACGGGCTTTCTTTCTTTTTTTATTATTATTATTATTATTGTTATTATTTTATTTGCCTTACAATGATTGAAAATGAATTACAAATAATATAGGATAAGGAGAAAAAGGAAGTGGCGATCGAGGAGACCTTACAGAAACTATAGGTCGGAGCCAGAGCGGAGCTTATGAGAGGTTAGGCCTCCTCGAACTACGGGCTAGAGCTGTTTACATCAATTGAAAAAAAGATGGCGTAAAGTCGAAGATGGAGAGATTTAAGATCGGTTTACATATATACTTAGAATAATCTAGTCTTCAGTATTGTCTTAAACGGGAGGAAAGGCCTTGAGACTAATGACCTCGTTGTCAAGTTCGTTGAAAAAAGGCGAGAACTTCTTCTTCGTTTTTTGACAATCGGGTAGACCGACGGTAGGCCTAGGAATTTCTTGTATTGTAAGAGTGGAATTGATTGCTTTGGGAGAAATTTTTATTAAACCTTGGAGGTAAGAATGAATTTTTGTAAGAATTCATAAATTGGCCCAGTTGTTCTTTGGAATTGATTGTGTTAATGGGAAAAGTCCCACCTTCTTTTGTGTAGGTTGTTACTTTAATCTAAACCTTGGTTATTTGAACCAAGTCCAAACGTGAACACGAACGTTTATTTATCTTACTCAGTCCGAAGTATATGACTATGATTACCGATTTAACAAGCCGCAACATCGAAATAAAAAGTTACATCAAGCTAGCGTAGTGTGAACAAGCTAATTTTGTGGTAAGTACTATGTATGCTAATGAAAACTCTCACCTCCCTTAGTATGAGCGCCGCTCAAGTCACAAGTCTACACAAAGGACGCTTTAAGTTTTTATATTATTTGTCTGTTAGATGAAAGTACGCAAACGGAGTAACTCAGAATACCCGGACACATTACATACATAAACTAGTTTATAGAGATAAAAGATTCAACAAGTCGCCCGCCAAATCGACGCAGAAATTGAACCGACTGTCAAGTCAAGCCGAAGCTAATTTCGTATATGTTAATGAAAAGTCTCACCTTCTTTAGTTTAGGCGCCGCTCGCGCTTCACAAGTCTACACAAAGACCGTAAACAGTGGTTTGTTTACTGCTCTGCTCGCGCTTTACACAACCACACAAAGACCGTAAACGGTGGTTAATTTTATTTTAATACACATCTTAATGCTCAGTTTTACAATCGCACGTTTCTTAAATCATTTTAAGCAAAATATCTTTCACACG